TGGAGAGTTGTATTAATTACAAATTGGGAGACCACTCTGGCCCCAGTAAGAGCAATGCCACAATTGAAATCTCCTCTCTGATTATTAAGGGGGGCCGGGATTTGCTGGAAGACATAGGTCCAGGAAAGAATGTGAAAAGGGACATAGGTCCCGGGACATAGGTCCAGGAAAGAATGTGAAAAGGGTGCTGGAAAGAAAGAGCAAAGCCTGTAGCTGTCAGGCTGGCTGCCAGAACCTTTGGACAAGTCAATACCTAAAAGCAGGTAGATCCAGTTTTTTTCTCCATTGTGATCAGGCACCTGGCAGCCTCAGTCTCTCAGAACATATACAACCCTTAAATAAAAAGGCCTCTGAGAAAACAGTTGTCACAATGCCCATGTGCTTAACACCATGTGGGAAACTGCCTCCAGTGGGTCATCTGCCAGACAGGTGAGTATTAAATAAGACAGCAGCATATTATAGCTCAGGAAGCACTTATAGCAGAAGTTCAAAGCAGTAGCTCACAGAGGAGTCTGAGCTACAAGCACAGACTAGTTTGTCTCTGCTTTCTGATTTCTTGAGAACAGCAGCTGCAACCCTTCAAAGCTGGGTAACAAACTCATAATTTCAGTTCAATTGAATTCGTCAATGTTCACAGAGATGGTGTGACTCAAAAAGAAGCTACATTTGACTCACAATGCGTTTAATAAAGTTGTCCTATAATCAGTGAATTTTGGCATTAGAAATCCTCTTGGAGGCCTCCTTAACCAACCTTCTACTCAATGCAGAAATCTCTTTCATTATATTGCCAGGAAATGATCATCCCATCTTTCACTTCCAATGAAAGACAACTGAGAGATAGCCCATTTGATTGTGCTAAATAGTTGTCTTTTTATTTTATCATTACACCATGTAAATATTTAATAGTTGTATCTTGATACTTTTCTGAGCCTTGGCTTTCTCTTCAGCAAAAACAGTGCTACCTTTGCAGGGGTTAGCATAGTCACTGGTTTACAGTAGATACCTTCCTCCAATTGAGTCAGGATTTGCCTCTCTGCCACCGGCTCCTATTGGAAATGCTTGCCTTCTGGTACCAGAAAGAACACTTTCCACATGACAGCTCTGAAGACAATAATCATGTTATCATTGCCTTTTTCTGGATGCTCCACAAATTGTATACATGTCCCTGTCTTATAAATGACATCCTGTACGCACAGAGTCCTTAATATTTCTATATATAATGTGTAATCAGCTAAAACATCAATATCACCTTCACATGACTTTCTGTTAATCCAAGTTCTCCCCCACTATGTAAGTGCAATAAATTTTTAAAAAATAAATAAAAGTCAGGATATGATATATATATATATATATATATATTTTTTTTTTTTTTAAAGACCGGCAATGGGATCTTAAACCATGACTTGGTGTTATCAGCACCCCATAAAAATAAATAAAAGTCAGGATATGATATATATATATATATATTTTTTTTTTTAAAGACCGGCAATGGGATCTTAAACCATGACTTGGTGTTATCAGCACCCCACTCTCCCAAGTGAGCCATAGGCTGGCCCCTAGGATATGATATATTTTTAAACTCTTAAAACTTTGTTTCTTTTGAGATGATTATGAATATTTATACTGCTGCTCATTGCTTAAGAGCCAGGTTAGGTAAACCTTTTGGCATTTTTCATAATTAGGATAAATGGACGAAAATAAGACAGAAAACATTTTGATGTGGAATGGCAGTATCTTCTGAGCAGTAGCAGTACCATTATTCTAGATTGTGGTAACCACTGTTACAGTTAAAGCATGTTGCTTGTTTACTAACCATACTGTTTAAGTATTAAAAATATTAACACTTAAAAGGTAAGCTTCTGTCTTCTGTAAATGCATTTATTTGGAATGCTATTTAGACAATGACTTTAACCATATATTAAGGTTCATTCAACCCTCTCCCTTCCCAAACCTGTCCTATTTGTTTAAATGAAATAGATATTTCCTTTTCCAGAAGTAGTGTTCTCTCACATGCTGCCGATTCTTAAAAGATTGTTCTCATATATAAAGCTTTGAGTGTCTCCATATGCTAACCACTTTACATGGATTATCTTATTTGATATTCTGAGGTAAATACTATTATTACTTCTGCTTTATAGATTACAAAACCAAGGTCAGTGAGGTTCACTAATTTGCACAGGGACATACAGCTAGTAAGAGGGAGCTGAATGGGTAGTGGCAATGGAGGAGTGGAGGACCACAAAGCCTTGTGTTCAGAAGACCCTAACAGAGGAATACTGATGCAATTAGGCTGTGTCTGCAGGCCCCACCTTCAAGAGTAGGGCCATGACACAGACACTTTGTCAGACAAGCACACAGCAGGGAAGATTTCACTTTATTGTTACATCAGTCTCACAAGTAAACTGAACACAGCCAGAAACACTTAGAGGATAAAGTGCCAGTGCAGAGAGGCCTGGCAACAGAAGGAAGGAGGAATCCAGTTCATCTCCATGTCCCCTATTACACAAGAGTGAGGGCAGCTGACATAGTAGGCAATCCATCCTATAGACACTTTGAGCTAAGGAATAGAAAATTGTGCCAGGTGCAGTCTGTGCAGGGCAAGGAAATACAAAAGTTAGAAAACATGTATTCCTCAAATGAGTCAGCCAAAGAAATACCAAACAAAAACAGTACTTTTCAAACTCCCTGTATGTGAGATGGACATCTAGTAAGGAATGAGATAGGTCTGGTACTTCTTGCTACTGCCTACTTTCAGAACTGTGAACTGGGTAGCCACCCTTTCTCTCATACCTTCAATCAGAGGCACTGGAATTTTCTAGGACTCTGGGAAGAACTGACCTTACCTTTTTACCTTGCCAGCCCCCAAAAAGTAGACCCAGTGCTCCCTCATGAACATCAAGGATACAAGGGCTATCAGAGTAATCAACTTGGCAGCATTTAAGGAAGGTTAATGAAGCTCAAGACTTCCCACAATTGTCTTTAGACATTTTTAGGTACCTACATCAAGCTGGGGTTAAAACACAATTGTTTGGTTAGAGAATTCAAATGACTTGACTGCATGGAGTGAGATTATGATATCCTAAGCTCAGTTCACCCCAACTGTTTCTATTCCAAAACTGGAAAATCACTGGTTTTCGGAGGCCAGAAGGATCACTAAAGGGCATCTGATAATTTCCCTGAAGCCGTATAATCCTGAATTCAAAAGGCCAGAATCAACCACATCTTTCCAAAACCTGAGAATGCCTGGCCTCACTTGGTTCACAGGGAATCCAAATAAGAATAAACCAGAACGGCTCACTTGTGACCAACAGTCAAGGCTTGGAGTGCAACTTTCAAGTAGGGAAGAAAGGGGTGAAGTATTTCAACTTAGTCCCAGGATAAGAAGCAGGCCAAAGTGTTGCCATGAGAGGTAGTAGGAGATCTGCTTGGAGAGGCCTCGAGAAAAAGGTGCAAGTCCCTCCTAGGTAAGAGTATGGGGTGTAGCTGGAGGGGGCACTGAAGGCTGGTAACCCTGGGATCACCCCTGCTGAGCTTCAGATGTAGCCTCCCCTACTGTGGTTGTGCTTAGTTTTCCATCTAGCTTCCTTTGTTCAGGCTGATAGGAAGGGGGTCTAGGGAATGACCTAGTGACAACTGACTGCAGTACAGCTGCCTAGTTATTCAAATGGGAGTCACCAAAGTTCTCTTTAGGGAGCTTCCACGAGGCCAAACATTCAGAGTTCCAAAGAGTTGTTTGGTAGAGGCAGTAGCTGAACACCAGACAAGATAGTTGGTGGCACTTGGCAAAGTTCAAAGTGGGCTCCATTAAACACTGAGAACTACTGCTGTGATCCCACCATAGACTTGGGAATATCTTAAAGGGATACCCACAGCTGGCTATTTTTCTAATTTGTCCAAGCACTTCTATTACTGAACTGAACGGACGATTCCATTACAGGTACCTTTGTGCTGTGTGGGCTGACACCCCAACAAATAAGCTTCAAAAACCCCTGTGATCTTCTGCTCATTTGAGAAGGGTCAGGAAACACTGGGCAGTTATAAAAGATTGTCCTTAATACTACCAGATCCTGCCCTGTCTCTTTCCCTGTACTAGGACAAAGCTGAAGAGTTTCCCAACCCTCGATTCCCTGGAAGTTTCATTCCCACCTCCATCCCAGAAAGGTTTCCCCAGGTAGGCCTCCCCACAAATTGATTCTACCCAGGCTACTCCCTTCTATCCTGGCCCTGCTCTGGGTTTTTTCATCTCCTTTCCCCACCCCTGTGTTCCCAGCTACTAGTCCTTGGCAGACCGTAACAGGTTAGGCAGAAATACTGACTAGATCTTGGGGATAATCAATGTGTGACAACAATGCCAAGATTATTTACTGAAGCCTTCAATTACATCTCAGAGAGGGATTAATATTCCTCTGTCTGTGGTTCCTTATCCCTCCTCTCCTCCAAGAAGTTCACAGTGAGATATTACCTCATCCATCTTTGTACCCCCAGTATTTAGGCACCAAGATAAGGGGCTAAATGTAATAGTTTGGGCAGGGAACTTTTACTGGGCTTGGCATATGGCAGGGAGGGTTACCCAGTTCCTCCTAGCATCCATTTCCAAAGTGTATCTCATCCATCTTTGTACCCCCAGTATTTAGGCACCAAGATAAGGGGCTAAATGTAATAGTTTGGGCAGGGAACTTTTATTGGGCTTGGCATATGGCAGGGAGGGTTACCCAGTTCCTCCTAGCATCCATTTCCAAAGTGTATTCTTCCTCTACCCTGCCTTTTCTACACACTCTCATCTCTTCATCCTCCCCTTAAGGACTAAAGACAAATGAGGCAGCCTGGGAGCCTTGACTTGGAAGTCAGGCCTGAGTTCTAGGTCCCTTCTACCACCAATTTAATATATAAGCTCAGACAATTCACTGGCCTCTCTGACCTTTAAATGAAAGAGTTGGACTAGATGTTCTCTCCGGGTTCTTTCAAATCAATTCATACTTGAGAAATCAGTAAATGAATTTGAAAATTCTAATTCCAAGACATAGGTATCCTGCACCTCTTTGAAACAGCTGAAAGGAAGTAAAGGTCAGGTTCCTGTTTATTACACATTTAGCTACAGGAAAAGAAGCAAGTGTATCTATGGAGAAATAGAACCTTGGGGCCCCTATACTTGACTAATAAAAGCAAATTTCTGGAAGAAGCAGAGAAACAGGCCCCAAGTGAGACCTGGCAGTGTCAAAAAGGGTCTATAAGTGATCAAAAGAGTAAAAAACAAAGGCTTTACCAGACAAGATCTCTAAGCACAGATTATAGTCTAGAGAGGTCTGAGTGGGAAGGAACCCCTGGCACTTCTATTAGAGGGAAGGACTTGGTCCACAGCAAGTTGCTACTGCATTTGGTTCAAACCCAGTTTGCTCAATCTTTCAGTCTGGTATGTATTCACACAGGCAGACATGCTGCAGGCTGTAGAGTTATGCTTCTGAAGTGCTGAAATGAGAAAGAACAAAAGAAATGACACCAAATTTGAGGAGGTTAGGCTGAAGGTAATTATACTTTTGGTTTAAAAGCTACTCATTTTCCCCACCATTCTGTGTGATATCATCGCTGTTCATTCTGAAGTGTGGGCTACAGAGTTTTGTGGGATGGTGAACTCTGGGGGTGGGAAGGGGTGGATTTGTGGTATGACTGAAAGCCAAAGGCAGGATACAACCCCATATAGTGTCTGAGAACCCCTCAGCTCATGACAAATGGATTTGATCTGACGACCCATTTAGGCACTCACTTGTCTTCATTCAAAGAAACTGTCTCCACAAAAGGTATTTCTTCCTTTTCTGTCTTCCCCATGATCAGCCGGTGCTTATCCAAGTTTATGACGCACTGAAAACAAAGGAGAATCACTGGCCACTGTCAATGATACCACTATGGGGTCCCCAGGTAAGAGGATTCCTGCTTAGAGAGGAAGTATCAAAGGGAAAGTGGAGTCAATCCTACCTTCATGGATCGGAGAGTCTGGAGACCAAGGGACAAGTTTTTCTCATTGTCCTCTAATAAAAACATAAAACAAAAATAAAATAAAGATTCAGCCATTTCCATGCTGGTTTAGAATTCAGCCTGATCACCATTAGAGTCAATCCATCCACCCATCTATCCAATAAACATCTGTTGAGCATATTTATAATAAGTAATTTTCCCAGATCATTACAGTTAAAAGGCTATAGAGCCAAGATTCAAAGCCAGGTATTTTTAACTCTAAAGGACAAAGACCACTAGACAAAAACCATAAACCTGGAGTATTCTAGTACAGAATGCATGAGGAGAAGTGTAGGAAGTGGTAGGAAATTATCAAGGGATTTATGGCAAAGGAACAAGAACATTTTGCCCTCTGCCACCAACTAGTTCATGGGAAGCTCTCAGGGGACATTTTCACTTGCACACAAAAATGTTCCTTGAATTTTTTATGATTCCCACAATCCTTTCTTCTGATTTATTCTCAGTATTTCTTGAATGTAGCTCAGGGCTCATCTGATACTTTGGAGGGCAGAAATTGGAACAAGGTCTGTAGTACAGGAAAATGGGAACCTGGGATTTTGAAGCAGTAAATATTTACAGGCATCAAATCTCATGAGGATCTGGTGGGGGTAGGGATAGGGTTTACTTTAGGGTCCATACGTCCAGTCCCGAACTCTACTCACCAACCACAGCTGCTGAGCAGTCCAGGCGGAGGGAGCCCAGTGTGATCACTAGGTGCTCAATCTGGCCCACTACTTTGAGATGCCGGGGTAGAGAAAGCTTTTCTCCTTCATGCTTGTGAGATTTGACATGCTCCTTGAGTCTGCACCAGAGAGGAAGATACCAGAATCCCCTTGGCAGAGGTTTCTGGTAGAATCTGGCAATGCCTATGTTCTGACCCACAATTAGAATTCTGCACGGATTTCCTGGGATTAATTCACCAAGAAAGGTGCTCCTTGAGTCTGCACCAGAGAGGAAGATACCAGAATCCCCTTGGCAGAGGTTTCTGGTAGAATCTGGCAATGTCTATGTTCTGACCCACAATTAGAATTCTGCACGGATTTCCTGGGATTAATTCACCAAGAAAGTGCTAGGCAGCCTACATTTGCTATTTCTGCACTTTGTCCTAAACGTGCCAGAGAAATATACAAAGACTTGTCTCCTGTTCTCAAAAAGTTTACATCACTACCTGCATTGGTCAAAGAGGGGAGGTGACACATTCAGATAATCCTGTTCTGCATCCTAACATCCCCACCTATGTGTGAAGCAGTTTAGTTAGCCTGTCCATTTTACCCATCTGTGGGTAACAGATATCAGAGGGGACAGGTTAATTCTAATTTTAGAAGATGCTTTGTTCAATATCCAATTTTCTATCTGTCTTTTCTATTTCAGTCTGTCCTCATCAGTTTGTCTTAAGCTTTAACGTTAGTGGGGGCAAGTACTTACTTGGTAAGTACATTGACATTGGTATCAGCAAGGAATATCATGGAGAAAGTGCTCATTAACTTAACTCGTATGTGCAGGGGAGGAAGGAAAGGAACAGCACCAAGGTTTCACACAGTTATGTAAGCTTATTGGAATAGCATCAGAGCTATTATGGGTTGGTGAATAAATACTTAATTATGGACTGTCTGTGCCAATACTTCTGCTTTCCTCCTTTTCCTCTTTTGGTATTATAGCCCATCCAAAAGAAAAATAATTGCAGTTTTACAGATGGTTATTAATTCTTCTGGAATCACGGCAGTCTGCTGCCTAATTATGCAGCAGGACATTATTAGTCTTTCTGAAACCATCATGTTGCACTATACCTCATCTCTTCATCACATAAAAAAACTCAGGATTCTTCCCACATGAGCACTTAAGTCCTGAACTTTACCCACTACCCTAAATAGCAATGTACAAAACCCACAGAGCCAGCTTCAAAGAGTCATAAACCATCATGTTGCACTATACCTCATCTCTTCATCACATAAAAAAGCTCAGGATTCTTCCCACATGAGCACTTAAGTCCTGGACTTTACCCACTACCCTAAATAGCAATGTACAAAACCCACAGAGCCAGCTTCAAAGAGTCATAGCAGTGGTGAAGGGTGAGGACAGGGAAGATCAGAGAAGGAATAGATCATGTGGTAGGGGTCACTGATTACACAAATGAAGCCCTGTGTAAGCCCTACCTAAGAATATGGACATCTTGAATGTAGCTCAAAATGAGCCACTATTACTACCTTAGTGATTGTTTCATTACAGAGATTTGGGCTGGGGAATAAATTATTGTACTTAGAGCTAGAGATATAGAAAATGATATTGGCTTGATCCTACTGATTCTGGGCTAGACCTTGGGGCCCATTTGATACTTTAAAGGAAAGAGTAAGAAGGAAAGAAATAAAAGTAGAGATTGAGTGAAAAGGAGGTAAGATACAAAATGGCTTTCTCTGACTAAAAGAGGGAGAACCCATTTCCAGCTGCTAGAGAACTGAAGATATTCAATATACTAGGTGTCTGCCTCACATCCAATCCCCAGCAGGGGCAGCAGTATGATCTGATTTTATATGCTCTTCACAGAGAGAAAAGGCACTAAGAAACTACTTGTTAGTCAACCTTATGATGGTCTAGGCCCAGCAGCAATTACAACCCTATTTTCAGTTCTGACTGATATTTCCTGGGGACAGACAAGGTATCCTCCAGAAGAACCCTGAGTAACCTAAGGCCAACCACCTCCTTGCTTTTACTCATCTGGGGTATGCCAACAGAACAGCTCCCTTTTTTTTTTCCATAAGTTTATTTAGGCAGTTGGCCAGTATGGGGATCCAAACCCTTGACCTTGATGTTATCATCACCTTGCTCTCCCAAGTGAGCTAACTGGCCAGCCCCAGAACAGCTCCTTCTAATTTGCTGTCTAGTGGATCAGAGCATGGCACACAATTAGTCAGGGTCTCATGCTCTCTCATTCCAGAGTCCAGAGGTCTTTGCTCAAAATGTAATAGATGGGAGTTAATGGAAAGCCCAAGGCTTCCCTGACTCACTGATTTCTCCCAGCTGTCTGAAAACCCACCACTCTTCCCTTCTATTAAAGACTCTGGTTCCAGCTGATGATATGAGTTCTGCACATTTCTCTTTGAGCCTCTGTGGAGACCCTCACCACCTCTAACCCCAAAATAGATTCAAGCAAAGACTGCGTTCACATCTGACTTCCACCCAACACAGGTGGCTACTTACCCCAATCTGTCCACACAGGTTGAGGAGATGAGATTGTATTGACAGCCTGTGTCAACCAAGGCTTTCACATCCTTTCCAGCACACTGTGAGGAGGAAACATACTGTTCAACAGGAGCCAGAGAAGCAAAAGGAAAGGGAGATGCAGAGAGTAAGCAGCAGATGTCATATGAAAGGCAGGGTTGGAGAGCCTTCTCCCAGTTATGAGTTGGTAGTTTCATCTTTACCCACTGGTGAGTGTGCCTTTGATTGGCCCTTTTTCCTGTTGAATCCAGGGCTGACAGAAGATCCCAAAAGACTTTGAGTGTTTCATTCTGTATACCAACTAGCTCTTAATCATTTTTTAAAAAATCACATACTCCTTTGTAAATCTGATGAAAACTTTGCATACAAAATATCACATGCACTTGCAGTGTTACATGGAGTATCCCCTTTAAAACTCATTTATGAATTCCATAAGACCCCCACTCTATAAACTTTAGAGGAGAGGGCCCCACTACTGAGATCATAAAAGGTCCCAAATCTTACTTTTCAGAAAAGCCTGGAAAAGCTGTTCTCAGAACATTACCTGGCAAGAAACCAAAATCATGTCATCATCTTCAGACTTCTTTAGCCCCTCAGACTTAGCCTGATTGAGTTTGTTGGTCTTGGAGGCCCAAGGGACACGACTGCTTCGGAGCTTAGACAAGTTGGTTTCCATTAGGCGCCTCTGCAGAATGTTATGAGGTTGCTTGAAGAATAGAAAGCGGAGTCGTCTTAGTGATAAGCCACATCTCCCCTCTCCCATTGTCTCCCAGGTGCCACAGAAATAATGAAGGAGCCTTACATAACTGAGCTATACCTTTGCTTCTTATTTATTCTTCCTTCAAGTGGGGACTTTACTGGTACTGTATTATCAGAGCAAGTCCTATAAACCAATTTGCAGTAGGCCACCTGAATAGATGAAAGAACAAAGCAGGACCATGGGAAATGTGGATAGGGCTAATGAATATTCTATGGCTCAAGAGAACTGAGAGACCCTTGTGATTTGGACTAACTTGGGCCTGCTGCCTTCTCTCCCCTTCCATGGGCATTTCATGGGGAAAGTAGTCTTAGTCTAGAATAAGTGATCTCTGTATCTTCCCAGGTGACTGTAAATCAGTGCCTTGCAGAAAGGACATCTAATTCTCATAGGCTGAAGAAACATACCTAGCACTGGTAGTAAGAATCTCTGCTTACTTCTATACCAAGCCTCACTCCCTTAAAGTCTTATCTTGCAGACCCACTCTACAGTTGCCTTGGTGGCTGGCTCTCCTGTGGGCTGAGCCACCCACAGGGTAGGGACACAGGAACTCATACCTGCTGAGAAAGCTTCTCAGAAGACACACTTTAGAACCTGGCAGAACCCACAGGAATCATCCTCACTGACATCCTCTGAACCTCAAATCATTCGCTCCTCCTGTCCTATCTTGTCATCCATTCCCCCTTCCTTCAATGAGCAAAAAAGTGGGGGTGTAAAAGGGGCACACACTAACCAGGAAGCAAGGGGCTTAATTAGACCTTATATGTGTATGCCAGGGTACCTAATGTTAGGAAGCAGAATGAGGAGTGTGAATTCAAGTCTGCTCTTTGACAGAACTTAGGAGAGTTCCTAGGGCAGATACATTTATGCTCTACTGTTCCTATTCAAAGTAGCCTCCAGAAGGTTTAAGACACCTCCTGAAAAGAAGCCATTTAACCTGAGAAATTTCTACACACAAGCATCTTATGCTCAGTTTATAATAACATTTAAAATCCCTCAAAGGGGCCTTACTGGTCAAAATAAATAAATAAATGAATGAATAAATAAAATCCCTCAAAGGATCAAGTTTAACCCCAATTTTTTTTTTCTTTTTTTTAAAAAAGATGACCGGTAAGGGGATCTTAACCCTTGACTTGGTGTTGTCAGCACCACGCTCACCCAGTGAGCTAACCAGCTATCCCTATATGGGATCCGAACCTGTGGCCTTGGTGTTATCAGCACCGCACTCTCCCGAGTGAGCCGCGGGCCAGCCCAACCCCAATTTTCTATCTAACACATACCAGATGGTACTCTGATTCTATGGGGAAGGGAGTCATTCTTAGAAGGCCAAAGCCTAGAACCTTCCTAGGGAAGGGAGTAGGACTAGAGGTCTTCATTATCTGCCACTTTTCAGATTTCTAAGGACAAATGGAGTCAGAGCCATGATCATTCTTAGAAGGCCAAAGCCTAGAACCTTCCTAGGGAAGGGAGTAGGGCTAGAGGTCTTCATTATCTGCCACTTTTCAGATTTCTAAGGACAAATGGAGTCAGAGCCATGACTCACTGTAACCCTGGTGAGGTGAATAAATGGATTCCCAAAATATACTGATTTTTGGCAAAGCACATTCTAAATTAGTATCCTTGGGGAAAAGGGAGGGAGAGGCACTTATAAAGAAAGTGAGAGCTTCTTAGCTTGATAAGAATCTAGAGAAAGTGCTAACTCTGTCAGATTTTGTGATGCAGCACTGGGAATGCTTTTCCTCAAGAAAAACAGAAATGCTTCATTCTAGTCTTTCTCACTAATAAGCCTGTATTTCTAGCTCAAGCCATACTAGAGCAGTATGTTTGTTGCTGTCAAGTCCATGCTCAGCAAGACCAACTAAGATAAAATGAATTTGTAGAACTAAGAATTGGAATGGGCTTCAAAGGCTGTCTAATCAAAGCCCTCTTACCTAAAGCTTGGTGCTCTTCTACATTGGTCTTGCTGAATACCACTTTACCTGGTTACTCTTAGTCTTGCAGAGGAGCCTAATCATCAGTGGACAGATGAGTCAAATGAGGAAAGTTCTGAAATCATTCTCCTTGAAGTAATTTCTGTTCTGTACTTTCCTCCCTTTCTATTGGATCCTTCCTCCGCAGGCTGTAAAACATACTCAAAATTCCTAGTATTGGGGAGAAAAATCCCCCACAAAACCTCAGATCCTGACTCCTCAACTCTATATCCTCCCCTAATCCACTCTGGTCTGGAATGGTCTTTTTAAAAAAAGCCTAAACCACGAAGTCTATTTCCTAATATCCTATATTCACTGAGATCACTTCTGATCCCACAACACCAATAAACAATCTCCAGATTTCCACTCCAGTAAATATTTTTTGACCTTAATTTTACTTGACTTTTCTAGTACATTTGGCCTTGATGACTATTCCTTTATAAGGTCTTTTCTTTAGTAACCAAAAATGGTTCAAACACATTCTGAAAGTAAAATATTCAAATATCACTGAAGTATATAAAGTGAAAAGAGAAAACCTCCTCAAACTCTCAACTCCTTCTCAGTCCCACTCCCTACAAATAGTGACCATTAAGTTTAGAAGTATATCCTTCCAAAAATATTAACACATTTACACACATATACAACTATAGGATCATACAATAACTGTTCTGAAATTTTCTATTTTTATTTAATATGTAGAAGGAATTTTTCTGTCATTACATATATTGTAATTCTCTTCATTCACTTTATAACTAAAAAGTATTCATAGTATAGTTCAGGAATAGAAAATTCACAGCCAACAAATCCATGTGAACTTCAGAGATGTTTTTCATTGGTCATTTTATATGTCCACATGTTTTAAGTGATGATGTAGCTGCACATTTACCTTTGCTCCCAACCAAAATTTCACTAAAATGACAGTAAAGGAATAAGAGAGGCCTAAACCCACAAGAATAAAGATAAGAGTAAAGGAAGCAAGAAAGAAAAAGATGGATGTTGACAAAATTCCGGAATCTGAACAGCAGACAGAAAATGGTAACTGACCTAGACTAGAGAAAGCTCAGTACTTCACACCATTTCACTTCACAGAACACTGGAGTGGCAGAGACTGCCAGTTGTTCATTAAAATCTTTGTTCTCTTCTTCTTCCTGGGCATATATCTAAATTATGTTTTCTAGCCTTCTTTGCAGTTAGACATGGCTATATGACTAAGTTCCAGGGAATGGAATGTCAGTAGAAGTGACATGCGCCATAAAAACTTCCTGTGCACACTCCTCCCTACTCTTTTCTTCTTCTGAGTGGCTAAAGTGTAGATGACTTCTATGGTAACCTTCTTAGTGGAAGGCAGAAGAGCCACTGTCAGCCTGGGTCCCTAAATGACTACATGGAAGAGGGCTGTCTTGCTGACTTTTCCACTAGTACTGTTACTTAAGAGCTATTACATATATTGGTGTCTAGCTGTAAAAGCAGTTTTCCCACTCGGACTGAAAATCTGGAAAGGCTAAAGAGTTAGCACTATCAGAACCTCTGTCTAGAAATTAAGTGAAACAAAAAACAAGGAAATTATTAATTTTGAGAAAAACAAACGTTTGTATGAGAAAGTAAACATAATCACAGTACATTAGACTTGTGAATAATATGAGCATAGTCATAATAATGTAAGCAGTATATGCTGTTTGACCTAAAATAGTTGTTTAACATAATATTAGTATGATAGGATAGGGGATATGATGGGAAGGTATAAGAGAATTAAATCTTTATGCACTATAGTAGAAAATCAATAGCTAATGGTAAAATCAATAAATCAAGAAATAGCAGTGTCATCATTTACCTAGACATATGGAGATCCCTAACACAAGAAACAGCTTTAAGATTTTTAAAATTATACACATATATCTTCTTATGAAAGTAAAACTTAAATAAAAAATATACCCCACATAGCAGGAAAGAGTTAAGCCACAAGAAAAGCCAACTTACAGTGGCTTAAATGGAGGTTTATTTTTCTTACATAACACAAAGTCTGGTACAGGCAGCTGCTGACATTAACTCAGTAGAATAACAACTTCAGGGCTATTGTTTCTGTAATTCTTCTGGACATCCCCTCATGTTCAGAGATGCATGCTCCGGCTTCTGACATTGGGTATACATTCAAGAAATGAGGAAAGAAGAAGGGACTGAAGGGACTATGCTAGTGCCATCTATCCCTTTTATTAGGAAAGTGAAAGCTTTCTAGAAGATTCCTCAGCAGTTCCCTCACACCAAAAACTAACTTAGGCAGGTATAACGCCAGGTTACCCTATAACCAGCTTAGCACCTATTTTCTTACATCTGCCCTACTTTCTGCATTTCAAAACAGCACATCTTCTATAGACATTTGTGTCTGTGGTATAAGCATACCTCAATTTAACTATTTAACTACTAATGGACATTTAGGTTGTTTCTATGTGTTTGCCATTAGAAAATGTTGCAATAAACTCAACATTCTGTTTTTCTTGAAACTCTCCTCCACTGGTTTCTAAAACCACCTTTCTGTTTATTTTGTATCTGTCTCTTCACTAGTTCCTTTGCCTCTGTTCATTTCTTAAATGTTGGTGTTCCTCATCACTCCTTCTTTGGTCCTTTTCTCACTCTACACATCCTGCCAGGGCAATTTTATCTGCTTTTGTTACATAAGTTACTACTTTTATGATGATGATTCTATCTCATGCCTAGATCTCATTCCTGAGTTTTAGATCCATAGATCCAAGTGCCTTTTTGAACATTCCACAAGCACTTCAAACTTGTCCCACTGATCTTTCACATAAAACTTGCACTTTCTCCCTTATCTCCTATTTCAATGAGTACAATTCTGCCTCTCTAACATATTTGCCTCTTCATTTCTACTGTTACTGCTAAGTCCAAGCAATCTCCTAAAACAGTATTTACATGGTTCCCTTCCCCTTCACTGGTTCTCTTGCCAGCTGTATCAAATAAAAATCC